CTAAGAAATAGAGGAGAGGGTGCCCGAATGGCCTTGCCCTGTAGCCAGACTGATGATCATCTTAAATATCACCATGGAACCTTTGTCTAACAACATATGGAAACAGAGGCAGAGACCCACATCAGAGCACTGGACTGAGCTCCCAATGTCTAACTTAAGAGTGGAAGGAGTGAGAATATGAGGAAAGAGGTTAAGACCATGAAGGGGTCATCCACTGAGACAGTTTAACTGAGCTAATGGGAGCTCACCAATTCCAGTCGGACTGGGAAGAAATAAGCATAGGCCAAAACTAGTCCCTCTGAATGTGGTTGACAGTTTTATGTCTGGGGCAGACTGAGGGGCCACTGGTAGTGGCACCGAGATTTATCTTTACTGCATGTACTGGCTTTTGTGGATCCTATTCTCTTTGGATGTATACCTTGCTCAGCCTAGATGTAGTAGGTAGAGCCTCGGATGTTCCACAAAGCAATGTATCTTACCTTCTCTTAGAATTAGATGGGGTTTGGTAGGAGGGTGAGTGGAGGGAATGGGAGGAAGGAAGGGAGTAGGAATTTGAATTGGTATTTTTTTTTAAAAAATCTATTTTATTTATTTATTTTTTAAAAAAGTTTATTAAATTAAAAAGTTTCCATTTCCGGCCCTCCTCCCAACACCCTCCCACTTCCCCCACTCCCTCTCCTCCTTCCTCTCCATCCCTAAGAGTAGTCAGGGTTTCCTGCCCTGTGGGAAGTTCAAGTTCCTCCCCCCTCCCTCCAGGTCCAGGAAGGTGAGTATCCAAACAGACTGGATCCCAAAACTCCAGTATATGCAGAGGAAACAAGTCCCAGTGTCATTGTCAATGGCTTTTCAGAAAAACTCCGGGCCAGTCACATCCAGAGAATCCGGCCACATTCAGAGAATCTGGTTAGATCACGTGCTCATTCAGTTCCAGTCCAGCTGGCCTTGGTGAACTCTCATTAGATCAGTCCCCTTGTATCAGTGGGTGATGGCGCCCATCGCAGTCCTGATTTCTTTTTTCATTTTCTTCATCCTTCTGCTCCTCATTTGGACCGTGGAGGGCTCTGTCCGGTGCTCCAATATGGGTCTCCGTCTGTATCGCCATCCAACGCCAGATGAAGGTTTCCTCTGCTCTTGCCTTCTTTGTTCACGTTCTCCTTCCTTCTGCCTCTCGTTTGGACCTAGGGAGCTAGGTCCAGTGTTTTGACGTGGGTCTCCGCCGCCATCTCCCTCCATCGCAAGATGAGGGTTCTATGGTGATATGCAAAATGTTCATCAGTATGGTTGTGGGCCAAGGCCGGTTCAGGCACCCTCTCCTCTGTCCAGAGAACAATCTGGGGATCTCTCCTTGGACCTGGGATCTCCTTTATACTCAACTCTCTTGTAAACCCTAAAATGACTCCCTTAGTTGAGATATATTCTTCCCTGATCCCATATCTATCCATTCTCCCTCCCCCATCCCAGTCCCCCGATCTTTCCCCATTCCTCTCCTACTCCCTTCTCTCTAACCCTCTCCCCTTCCAAGAGTCCCCCCACCCCACCATGCACCCGAGGTTACCTGGCACTCTTGTCTATTTCCAATCTCCAGGAGGATAGCTACATGATTTTCATCAGGTTCACCTTCTTATTTAGCTTCTCTAGGATCACGAATAATAGGCTCAAAGACCTTTAATTACGGTTAGAATCCACTTATGAGTGAATACATACCATGTTCCTCTTTTTGGGTCTGACTTACCTCACTCAGTAAAGCGTTTTCTATGTCCATCCATTTGCATGCAAAAGTCAAGATGTCATTGTTTTTTACCGCTGAGTAAAACTCTAATGTGTATATGTTCCACACCTTTTTTAACCATTCTTCTATTGAGGGGCACCTAGGTTGTTTCCAGGTTCTGGCTATTACAAATAGTGCTGCTATGAACATAGTTGAACAAATGTTTTTGTAGTATGTTAGGGCATCTCTAGGGTATATTCCCAAGAGTGGAATTGCTGGGTCCTGAGGGAGGTTGACTCCCAGTTTCCTGAGAAACCGCCACACTGATTTCCACAGTGGCTGCACAAGTTTGCATTCCCACCAACAATGGATGAGTGTTCCCCTCATTCCACATCCTCTCCAGCATAGGCTATCATTGGTGTTTTTAAGTTTGGCTATTCTGACAGGCGTAAGATGATACCTCAAAGTTGTTTTGATTTGCATTTCCCTGATCGCTAAGGAGGTTGAGCATGACCTTAAGTGCTTTTTAGCCATTCGAAGTTCATCTGTTGTGAATTCTCTGTTCAGTTCAGTACCCCATTTTTTAATTGGGTTAATTAGAGCTTTAGTGTCTAGTTTCTTGAGTTGTTTGTATATTTTGGAGATCAGACCTTTATCTGTTGACGGGTTTGTGAAGATCTTCTCCCAGTCAGAAGGTAGCCTTTTTGTCTTACTGACAGTGTCCTTTGCTTTACAGAAGCTTCTCAGTTTCAGTAGGTCCCATTTATTTATTGTTTCTCTTATTGTCTGCGCTCCTGGGGTTCGGCTTAGGAAGTGGTCTCCTGTGCCTATGTCTTGTAGACTACTTCCTACTTTCTCTTCTATCAGGTTCAAAGTGGTCGGATTAATGTTGATGTCTTTAATCCATTTGGACCTGAGTTTTGTGCATGGTGATAGATATGGCTCTATTTTCATTCTTCTACAGGTTGACATCCAGTTATGCCAGCACCATTTGTTAAAGATGCTATCCTTCTTCCATTGTATAGCTTTAGCTCCCTTGTCAAAAATCAGGTGTTCATACGTTTGTGGGTTAATACCTGAGTCTTCTATTCGATTACATAGGTCGACTTCTCTGTTGTATTGTTCTCTCCAGGTCATTTTTAAAAAATCTAATACATTTTAAAAAATGTTGGCTGTCCTACAGGACTTGACTAAGACAATATTATTATTCTTTCTATATTTCATATCTTGTTTTAGAGGCTGAACTTTTTTAAAGGATGAACTTTAAAGAGTTCAGTTTGGAACATGATCTTTAGCAATACGTGTGTGTTTGTGTGTGTGTGTGTGTGTGTGTGTGTGTGTGTGTCTATGTGTGTGTAGCAGAATAAGCCAAACTAACATTTATAAATTGCTTCATATTGTTATGAAAATGCTTAAAAATTATTACGCTTAGCAATTTTCAAGAATACAAAGTTAAAAACTATAGTAACCACAGTTATAAGTCAATCTTTTGAATTTATCACCCTTACTGAATTAGCCTTTGCACATCTTTTCCAATCTTCTCATTAGGAATACACACACACACACACACACACACACACACACACACATTTTTCCTTTTTGTACTTCATTGACAATTTCATACAAATTTTCATAGAAATAATATTTGACATAAGAGCATGTATGGGAATTGGAAACATTTTTCCAGTATTTGATATATTATGCTGATTTAGTATCAGTTGTCTGCTCACAAATTTAGTCATACATACTTAGTATTAACACAAACATACATTGCCGCGTAGAAATTTTCATTCAAATTGGTAATAAATCAAACATACCAGTCTCATGTCTATACACTTTAAAATACATAGTGGTTTGGATTCACTATGTAGCTGAGATTGACCTTGAACTTCTGATCCTCCTGCTTCTACCTTCTCAAGTGCCAATATATACTATGTCAATAAAATATATAGAATACAAAAAGTGAATTACAATTGTTACATATGTTACAGTTAACATCACCTAGTGGTAGCTAGTTATTCAAAGTACAAGTACAGGGACTGGGAAGATGGCTCAGTTGATACTGCATTTGCTATGCAAGTAGGAGAACCTCGGTTCAATCACCAGCACCCAGATAAAAAAGCCAGACAAACCAGCTGATGAGATTGCTAAGCAGATAAGGACTTGTCATCAGCCTGACAATCTAAATTCAATCTTCACAACCAACATGGTGGAGAGAAACAAATTGCCCTATGACATCCAGATGTGCACCCAGATTCATGTACAAAAATAATTCATGTACCATACTGCACCTGTAACCTCAGCACTGGAAAGGAGACACATGAAGATCCTTGGAGCTTTCTGGTCAGACAGTAAGAACATGTCTCAAAAAATAAGGTGCCCCTTGACAGGCAGATCTCTGTGAGTTCAATGTCTACAAAGCAGCTCCAAACTAGCCAAAGATACAAAGTGAGACCCAGCCTCAAAATAAATAAAAATAGGGTAAAGAGGAATTGAGAAAGACACTGAGTAAGCCACACTGGTTATCAAGCTCCAAGGATTGGTCTGTCTCCATCTCCCCAGTACTGGATTTATAAGCAAACCCTGCTGACCCTAATCTTTTGATGTGGATTCTAAAGACCACATTTTAAGTTCTTATGCTTATATACCAAGTACTTTACTGAGTTATCTCCCAACCTTCCACATGTAGATCTTCTGTGCATCTTTTCACACTGTTTTCATATAGAAAGAGATTCTTTTAAGATTAACATACAGAAGACTCTCTCTATAGACTCACAAATTTATGGCACTCAAGGTTTTGTTTTGTTAATTTGTCATGTGTGTACAATGGATGTGTGCAAGCATGTGTGAAGAGGCACACAGTGTATGCATGAAGAACAAAGGACAATCTCAGGCATCCATTTTGTTTGTGACAATGTTTCTGTTGGATTTCTATTGCATGAGCCAGGTTAGCTTGCCTGTGAACCTCCACGGTTTTTCTTCTCTCCACTTCCAATTTCTTCATAAGAACACCATAATTATAGACATTTATGCTTTCATATCAAGCTTTACATGAGTTCCAGGAATCTGAACGCAGGTCCTCAAGCGTATGTTGCTCATAAGCTCACTGAGCCACCTCCTCAGGCCAATACTGAGGCTTTAACATTATGGTCACACTGGTGGTGCAGGCCTTAATCTTAGCACTCCAGAGACAGGTGTCTCTCTCCAGCCTGGTCTATTTAACAAGTTGTTTGTAAACCAGACAAGTTACAAAGTAAAACTCAATCTCAATAGTATCATTTATAAGACATACCCTGAAATTCTATGTCTCCAATTTCTATATGGATCATATAAACTTTCACAGAATGCCAATGCATGGATCACAAATTCTTCAATCGATGTCTGATCAGCCATTTCCTTTTCCTTTTTTTTGCTTTTTAACTGAGAATAAAATTAAACATAAAATTAAAGGTATGTTTCAATGATCAGCTTTCAATAAGTCATTTTTATTTACAGAAGCCTAACTTTGCTTTTGATTCCTTAAGAGTCATTTAATTATATGGATTAGATACATTCTCTCAGATATTAAATTCTTCCTAGAATAAGTTTGAAATAGTCAAACACCTTTGGAAATCATACTTTTCAGCAAGATTTATAATAAATTTATACATAAAATGAAACATTGTGACATTTTTAAAAACTATAAAAAAATTTAAATTAAAATAAAGTGTCAGACAATGGTGGTACACACTGCCTTTAATCCCAGCACTCGGGAGTAGGAGACAGAGGCAGGTGAATCTCTGTGAGTTCGAGGCCAGCCTGGTCCACTAATTTAGTTCCAGGGCAGCCAAGGCTACACAGAGAATTTGCCTATCTCGAAAAAACAAAAACCAACCAACCAACCAACAAAAAGTATAAATAGCTAATCTACTTTTAGAAAATAAAGGATTTAGGGCTGGAGAGATAACTCAGTGGTTAAAAGCATTGGCTGCTCTTCCAGAGGAGCCAGGTTCAATTTTCAGCACCTACATGGCAGTTCACAACTGTTTGTAACTCCAGTTCCAAGAGCTCCAACACCCTTATACAGGCAAACTAATGTACATGAAATAAAAATAAATAAATCATTTTTTAAAAAAATAAAATACAAGATTTATAAAATCGATTGTCTTTTCAATTACTACCTTCTTTGAAAACATTTAGCAAGGTTAATAACAAGATTAAAAAAACAAAAAAAGTAAAACCTAGTTAGTCTCAATAAAGCAATAAGAAGGAATGTATTCACACCTACTTGCTGAATATACAGTGTTGTCATGGTAATAACATGATTAATATAGGAGCAAGTCCCAATTTCTTCTACATTTGATAAATTCCTAGGAGATAAAAGAATAACATGCATTATATATGAGCAATATGTTGCTAGTATATTCAGCATGGATCCTGAGAACAGATATTGGCAAATGAAATATTAATGATATTAAAAAAGAAAATAATGCATAGAGCGTTGCCATTATTCAAGTATGTCCCATTATTTATTTTACTCTACTTTCTGAATTTTAGCTCCTTTATTTTGACTTTTGTCCTATTTTGTAAACTGTATCAGAAATCCTACAACACAAGGGGGATCCATCTTTAAATATTTTAAGAGGACATAGCATTATATTCTATTTAAAGCAGAGAGTCCTTAAGGACTTTAGTTGTGACATATACTAAGATAATTTAAGAGACCTAAATATTTTCTTGACATTACTGTTAAAAGTTTTGCAATAAACTAATAAAGTTTTCTGTTCTGAGACACTGTTATCTATAAAAAATTGTCTATCTTAAAATCTAGATGTTCACAGAACAGGAAAAGTTAATAAGACTTCACACCTTAAAAAATTAAACTATGACACCTTAGTGGTTTCTCTAATGTAGGAATAGTTAAAATTCTCTGTGCAGGAACCAGAGATGGTTCAGTGGTTATGAATATATACTGCTCTTTCATAGAATCCAAGTTTGGCTCCCAGTACCAACATCAGCTGGTTCACAACCATCTGTAACTCCAGATCAAGGAGATCTGATGTCCTTTAGCCTTTGTAAGCACCTACCACAAGTACATACACACATACACATTGTTTTAAATTTTAAAGTCTGTGTGTAGCCGACAATGTGCTACATATAAATAATATGCAGAATGAAAAATGTTCAACATTATCAGTCATGAAAACCACTTCCAGATTCACTAGAAAGACAAGAGCAGAAAAGACAGTAAGTATTAGCAAGGATGTACAGAAAATGAAACCTTCAAGCTGACAGGATTTTAAATTCTAATAGCTACTCTGTAAAACAGTTTGGCAGTTTCTTAAGAGATTAAAAATTCAGCATTGTTGGAGCTGGAAAGATGGCACAAAGGGTAAACGCATCTGCCACCAAGCCTGACAACCTGAATTAAATCCCAGGAACACCAGGAGACAACCAACTCTTCCAAACACACACAGACACACACACACACACAGAACACCAGGAGACAACCAACTCTTCCAAACACACACACACACACACACACACACACACACACACACCCCAAATATACTATAATCAAAACAAAACTGAATGTCTTTA